GAGAATCGCGAGGCGATGAAATCGCGTGATGTATGCCCGGTCCTTTAGACATCTCAAAAATGAAGGTGATTTAACATCAACACATGTGTGGAAACGCTCACCCCCGCCAAACCTTGGAAACTAGGAATGGGTTTGACTACAGCAGGGAATGAACGTTTGAGTAAATATCCGAAGTTTAGGAGTGTCATTTTTTACAATGTTGGAAACTGTGGGTGGCGGATTTAATATCGGTGCGTGTTCATCAAGTCCTCATCACCACGTATTTGTTTGGCATGACTCCTCATTCCAGCTAATACAACTTCGACGAGTCGAGCAGATTCGTTAGTACTGAAGAGGCTGGTCATGAATTTCGTTCTGCAAAATAATTGATTTAGAGAAAACGAGGAGGAAGACAAGATCAGTATGTACTTGATCTGTGCTGGAGTTGGATGCGTAGTGGTTGCAGCGCTTCTCTTGATCATCTACATATATCTGCAAAGATCGCGAGAGAAGAGGCTTATCGAATTGGCCGAGAACAAACATCGCAGGAAGGTCCGTTGATTTCTTACTGCAGCTCATGATTGATCTATCGACTCATAAAATGAGGAGAGGAAAGGAACGTGAATCTTTGATATGCCTTTTCACTCCGTATTCGTATCTAACAAGATACGTCATCGAAGTCAGCTCTAGCAAATAAACGTCTTTGCCATCGCGGCCGAAGCAGCCGGCTATGAGCGCAGCAATGCTTTTTCAAGGGAAGTATCATGCTTAAAGATTAGTAAAGCAGAGAAGTTTTTACGCATTTTCGAACAATCTTTCTTATGTTTATCGTTACCAATCTGTGAAAGTTCGTAAGCTTACGCTGTCTTTTCCGCTTTTTGTGACATCTTGTTCTTAACAAGGTTTCCACAATGTTCGTAAGAAGATTCCGTTGCTGTTGGGCGATGTTCATGAGGCTATGCTCTTTTGTTTTCAACTCTATTTTCAAGTATGCTATATGCTAGTATGTATAAGGGAAGAAACCAACATGCGTAGTGAGAAATGTATACCACTAGACGCTTCTTCACACGCTGATTCCAAATCTGTTTTCCTTTTGTGCGGAACAACTTCCCGAAAAAAGGTTATGAGCGTTTGAACTTTGATTTGTCAAGCTTTGAAGGCCGTGGACGGGCAAGATGGACCCTTCCCGGATTCTGGTGGTGTTAGGGCAGATCCCTCAAGTACGCTTTGGATTTCGAAGCGGGTTTTTCAGGTAGCGCATGACTTGAAGGTTAGGGTGGGCTACGGAGTACTTACAGTGCTTCTAAATTGCAGAGTCGTTTGCGCCAGCGGT